CTGCCGGCACTCCCGGAGTGCAACCCGTCGTTTTTTTTTGTGTAGTTTTCTTTACAGACCTAGGGAGTAGGTAGGTATACATAGGTAGATAAAAATAAAAACAAATTGACAAAACCTTCACCATATATTTATTAATAAAGACAATCTAAAAGATCACGTAATAGTCCTTGTCTTAAAAAATTAGTTACCCTAATAAATTTATCAATATATATAATAAAGATTAATTTTATTACTTATTGTTTCAAGGATATGCGAAGTTGTGAATAGTCGCCCAGAGGGTAGGGGACAGGGTTCAGTTAAGTCGTTGTTCTTTACGAATCATCACATTGATCGAATATAACAATGAATCTATTCATACAATTACACTTACATCTTCTCAATAATTACCTACATCATCGTTAATCTAAATGCTTATTAAATTTTGGCCTAAAGTGTCTACGCGAAGAATTGTGCTAATCTAAGGAGGTGTCTACATTTTTTTCCATAGTATTTTTAAAGACTTTTGTAATATACAGAACGTTCAAAATCACAACACAGAGTGTAATATCAATTTTCGTGCATTTGGCACGTCTCGATTATTTCTCTACATTTATATTACAAGTTAAGTACGTATTAGGTACGTTAAGTACGCTCGAGCGCCACCGGCAGGCGCAGTGCGCAAGCCGGACAGTGCTCGTCACTCGATACAAAATTAGAAGAATATAATATCCATTTAGACTTACAAAATACTAATACTATAGTAACATTATTATGTGTTGACACAAATACAGAGTTCTTACATATACACTATGTGCCATATCAGGACTACGAGCAGGAAAGATTCGGATTATATGAACATTTATAAGCGAAAATAACATTGGTATCTAATAAACTTTATATACATTTAATACAATATTTTTATTATCGCTGTATGCAACGGTAGATTCATTAATAGTACAATATTTGGTAATATTTAATTTTTAAATTATGCTTACTTTTCATACAATTGACTTTTGTTTATTATTGTATTTAACAGATGATGTAATTAGAAACCACTTTTAAACGATAATTATTAATAACGTCTTTTAATGAAAATAAATATATAATATCTATACCCGAAAGGTTTAGGTCCGTTCAATCATAGGTGCTGAACTTTAAGAAAAGGCATAATATTTTAGTCATCAAATAAAATTTCAAAACATTTTCTTAAATAAATTGTAAGAATTTGATTCTTCATAAGTCATTTAATAAAGGTTTATTAATAAAACATAATTTAAACATTTGAAACTTCGAGACTGAATATTTGTAAACTGTTTTAATAAACTAACCTATACCTATTCATAAATAATAGATATTATTTTTAATAAAATGGCTAACAATTTTATTGCAAAATAAAGAAATAGCTATAGTACTATTGTATTATTACCGTACGGCTCGACTTATTTATTTTATGACACAACTGAACGTTCACAAAGATGTGTCAGATTTCAAAACGCTTCTTTATTGTTTATTGAATAACAATAATGTTATTGAAGCTTTTGAAATCGAGTGTTATCAATAATCACAGATTAGATAGTGTAAATCAAAAGAGTAAGAAGAAATACAGTAAGAACATTTCATAATTCAATAATAAAAATATCGTTTAAGTTATAGAAGAATTTAAGTTAGTCAAAAAATACTTCGAAATGAGAATTTGAGACTTAAAAGTGGTTGTTTTTTTTTTTAGCTAGGTACCTAAAGCTTTCGAGTCAAAGTATAAGGCTTCGTTGAAAACCCTCTCATTTAATTAACTAGGATTAGTAAAGATAAATGAAATTAAATTGTAATCCGCATATCTATTCTGACTTAGCAGAATGGATAGTGGATCAATAAATGCATTTTCCAGTGCTTTTTCGATAGTAAAATAAAATAATATGAAAATATGTAGTTTTAAAATTAAAATTGTAAGGCACTTCTATATTTAAGTTAAATTAAATTTGTTTAAACCGTCAATCTTATAAATTCAAAACTTAGCCACTGTGTGCATATTTCTAGTAGAATACAGCGATACGAGTAAATAGACTAGTAAACGCTAAGCGCTGCGCTCGATATAAGGCGCTTGGGGCGCTTGGGGCGCTCAGGCGCTCTAACGTCAATCTCTCGCTAGGGTACATTTGGGTAACTTAAAGGGCATCATTATAAAGCTATACCCTGACTAGTATGACTGGGCACATGGAATGGGTTAGTGACACCATGATTATATATCTAACATTAATAATAACGAACATACGTTAAACGTTAATAAATAACAAAAGGGAAGAGAAGTTATCTACATTTACGAGAAATTAACGAACAGTTTAGTTAATTTAGAGGATACCGTTCAGTCTTAATAGCTAAGAGTATTGTTAAAAAATATCTCTGGAGGGACTGTCTTTAATAAATTGTAATTCGAAGTAGACTTCATCCGGTACCGATACGTTTATTTGAAAAAATATTCAGTATGTACACGATAGTTTTGTATGGCTTTTAATTTTATTTCAAAAAAATTCTAAATGAACTGTTTCTTATTGAAATATTTTTCCTATATATAACATAATAATTGGCACATGATTTCTATTTTTCGGTATACAAGTAAATAAAAATTTAATCTTTGGGTTTTATATTTATGGCTACCGTCTACGCTAAAATGGCCACTATGGTTTATATGTCGTTCTTATACCGGGCACCTACTTAAATAAATTACGATTAGAACTTTGGCAAAAAATTGGCATATCGAGTTAGAAAGGACAGAATAAGAATTTTATCGTTAGATATCGTATGAAATTATTATGTATTAGACACAACCAAATAATCACACAAGTTAGTGAAGTACAAATTCTTAGATGAAATACGTTACAATAATTGTATTTAACAACTAGTACCGCGACGCGGCGAATTCAAATAAATTACTTTGATCGTGTGTACTTTCGTTTTTAAGAGTTCAGGTACTCGTGTGGCAGGAAAATGATATACTTATCTCATGCAGATATTTAAAAAATAATAGACCTAAACGATGCCATGTTGTAGCAGTGCTGTACCGAACGTGGCCGCTTTCTAAATGTGTGTAATATGAACTTGATAATATTTATGTTTGTGAATAGATTCTGAAAAACGACGCTAAAAACTATTGAGCCATCAAATATTATGAGTGGCAGATTTTTATGGTACTACAACTTTTTTAAGGCGCTAACTATTCGATTGTCAAATTTTGTTCCAATTCAAAGTAAGTATATATATAAAGTTAAAATGAAATTATAAATTTTGAATTGCAATCTCTCTAATGTTTCGAGTTAATTTATTACACCACAACATGGCGATCGCGTGGTTTGACAATAACTATTTCATTAAATACTTTTATATAGATCTACATAATACTGTGTGCGTCGCACGCATTCTCCTAGATAGTGTTAAATTTTAATCTAAAAAGTATTTTGTTAATAACGGTGATAAATAAAATCCAAGGTTAGTTATTAAAACATGTCTTTTACGAGGAATTCTGCCCCAAAATCAACGTAGTCGTAGAAGTATCGGAAGACAAATGAGTAGAATAAGTACATCACAACCACAATATAATAATATTTGTTGCTCAATGAGCCGTACATTTGGAGCAGCGGGCTATAGGACCGTTTGCGAGACTAGTGGCGCACTCGCCATACAACTTGAGCAACTGTTTATCGCTCGATTTGTACGTCAAATAATAGACAGAATACGTTGAAGCAATACACCATACATACATTTATCACAACACGTAGGTACATGTAGACACATTTACATTACACTTTATAGAAAAAAATGTACACATTTAAATAAACTAGCTGTACACGTTTAAATAATGGCATATCAGAACGGTCAACAAGAAACTTCGTAATAATATTCAAAAACATAAGATATAGCACATTTGAGCATTTCATACAATAATTTGTATAAAAAAATATTACCTATCCCTCCATATTAGTTTTCCGAGAACGTTTCGGAATCAAGTGGAATCGTGTGATTAATTAATATTAAACTAGAGTTTTATATCTAATGCATGACGGATAATTATTCATTGTTTTGTTTATATATGTAATCGAACGTTTGTCCGTTTTTTCCACTTGATCGGACGAAGTTCCAGTACATTTTACAATTATCATTCATCGTCTAGGTGCAGTTGAAATTAATAGATGAAGTGTGACCAGTAGGTACGGAGCTTGAATTATTTTCGTTCTCATACTATGTAATCTAGAAGTTCTACAAAAAATAATAACAAAAATCTATAAGGCATTTAACAAAAAATCTGTTTTATTAAAAAAAACAAGTAACGATATGATATCTACGAAAATACAACAGGGTAATGAGCAAACAAGGAACGTGCCGAGCTGCGCTCGCGACAAACATGAAACGATTGAAATAGAAACGAGGTAGTGTAGTTACTACACGATTTATATTATCACACGTATAATATAATTGTAATACTTATATAGATCAATAGTATCCTCTCGAGTAGAGCTCGCGCTCGATGTGAACCGAACCTAATAACGAACTACTTGTTCTATCATTATTTACAACATCACACGGGCAAGTCACATTGAGAAGTCTGTCATATAAAACTTTACGAAGAGCTACCTATTTATGTATCAATCGTTATACAAAATATCTTTCTGCATTCTCTTCAAGCTTAGCAATATGAGAAATTCGAAACCATTTTCTTTTTATATAGGTATTCGACCAAGCTAACTCTTCTCTAGCTACTAGTCACTACGTCGCTCTCTTTCTAGATCACTTTTAATTTAATCTATATATTACCTATTTTGTAATCATAATAAATGCTTTAACGATTCAGCATTTTGTCCGAGTCCCAGCGGGCACTCGTGTTATGGTCTAGCCGGGGCGGAGCTCGAGTGACCGCGGGGCAAAAGTTTTTGGGTGCGTACGTATTGAATAGTTACAATTGCGATCATTAGTGGGACGCAGACACAAAATGCGCTGTGGCGCGGCGGCGGAATGAGTGAGCAAGGAGTCGGTTACAGTGCGGGCGGTTTGCTTTGATATTCAGCTGTCGCGTGGGATCTGTCATCAGATCTTTCAACCTTTTCATAAGGCTTTTCGAGTTTGGGCCTTTTTGGCTCGGCGTCGAGTGGCCGGTGCGACTTCATATGTGCGCTACGACTTTTTACTTTGTTAAATACTCTGAAACATAACAGGGTACACTATTAGAAATGGCAACAAAAGAAAATAAGAATAAAGCCTCAAAATAAAATTAAAGTTATAAAAACTCATATTTAGAAATTTAGATAAAGCAAAGCGTTAAGCGTTAGTATTCGATAAAACTTATATATGTATATACAACATCAACACACAAAACCTTTTAAATATATTAATCCTACGATAAGTACAATAAATAAAATATATTACTATAACTTCTTAAGCAATGGACATAAATTCATTGACATAATATTCGATAAAAATACATCATGATAATAATAATAACATATGTACATTAATCGCCGTTATGTAATTCATTCAATTCACAGTTGTCTTAATTTATTTGCAGTTTAACGGCATTAATAAGTTAAGAACATAGCATTTTTCTTGCTTTGCTTGACTTTTTCAATCTAATAAAATATATTTCTCAATTAAACTGAGTTTAATGCTGAAGATTCGGGTAGTTTTACTTGGCAATTGGTGTTTTGGCAACGTTACACTCCTAAACATCCTATAACGAATAGATATTACGTTATACAAATATTTAGTTTAAATACGAACTATGGCAAACATTAACTTGACATGTAATCAACATCAATAACACGGATGCGAGGGGTGCAGGGCCGACTGGCGCCGATGTAATGAACACTTGTACGTTGACAATTTACGATATTACAGAAGTAGTGCCGTGCTTACTGAGCTGATACTCCATATTTTAACTTAACATATTAAGTCCATCGAGTTAGTTACTATTAAGCTGTAAATATTTCTTAAGACTTAATGCATGCACAAAAGGCAATTTAGGTGTAACTTAGTGTAGTTTATTAGTTTTAGAGTTGCAAATAAATAGCGGAGAATGAGTGTTAATTTGTGAGTTTTGACACGGGTAAAGAATGTTGAGTGTCCCACGTAAATTGCGTTCGCGCGATTTTGCCATAAGTTTGATTTATTATAATATTTATATTGAAGCGGTATGCTGACGTGCCTCGCGTCGGAACTTACTTCCCGCAAATCTTGCATGGGAACTCTTCGGTTTCATAGGACGTTGGAGGAGACGTCCACGCCGTGGTGTTTGGTGCGGTAAACTCGCCTATAGAACCCTGAATGTAGACAAGTCGCGTGTATTAACATCTCGTTAATCGTCGTCGTTTACTCATCACAGAGTCTGAAGACAAAGTGATTTAGTCCAGAATTGTTGGCATTGCTTACTTGTGTCGAGATTGGTTGCTCCATATTCCAGCTTCGTAAGTACAGACATTTGTAATCTTTGGTAAGTTTCTTCCAGAAGTAGTAGAACTGTATACATTGCTTCGAATCTTTTGTTCTTACCTGGAAATAATATTAGTATTGATTATTGGAATAGGTTTTTGGACCATAGTGTGGGGCATTTCACGTTATGAGTGCAGAGTTCGTTTGTTTTTTAAATGATTATAATTAGTTATATATTTTAGATTTGCCACCATTTGAATACCATTGCCACTCCTATGGCAATGAAATAGCAATGGAATGGAGTCACATTATTTTGAACCTTTCATTATCTATTCATCGTAAACATTAGCAAATGTTTGTAGTGTTCAATGTATATTAATTACCAGTTGCGAAATTCTGTAGAAGTCCTTATCGTAATGGCCGAGTCCAGTTAAGAAGGCTTCAACTTCATCAGGTGCCCAACGTGATTCATGTTGTGCAGGTGCTGCAGGGCGGGACATGAGGCGAAGTGTAGCTGCTCTGATGTCTCCACCACACTCTCCAAGGGTTTGTAAAGCAAACTCTCGTGTGTGCCCACCTACAGGCATTGCGGCACACATTGCCAGCTCCATGAACATCCTCACTGCAGAAAGTTTTTATGTATTCACAAAATTGAATGTAAATTGTGTTTTTTTTTTTTAATTACAGTAAATGAAGAATAAATAAGAGTATTGCATAAAATCTCAAAGAGATTTAAGGTACATATATTAAATCACTGAATTTATAAACATAGTACAAGGAATAAAAAAAAACCTTTTTGTATTACCTTCATTATCATCTAGGGCGTCATTAATGCCGGGATCCCACAAAAGCTGTTCTGGCACGCGATGTAGATCGATACGATCATTACAAAGTTCTGGCAAATCAGCTTGGAAGTCACGACCAATATTGATCTGTGGTAAACGTGGCTCCTCCAGTTGTGCAAGAATGTCTGTTTCAGTCGCCGGTAATCCTGAATATATAAAAATGATTATTTCACTGTGGAAAAATGGTGTCAATTAAGAATATAAATATAGTTTATTATAGTTACTTGCCTGATGTAAATTCTATAAGTAATCCAGAACCTTCTCGATCCGGTGACAAAATCGGGTGAGGTGTATAATGAAGGTTCGTGCGACGCATCCGTGAACGGTAAGGCCCAGCTGGTGATGCTCGTCGTTTGCGTCTTTGTGGGGAGGCAGGCACGCTGCTTGGACTTAAAAACACCGCTGGTACTGTTTCTCTACCTTCCACGCACACCTGAAAATAATTAAAAAACATCAATATAATAAACTTCGCATTTTTTTCTTTTACATCTTTAAAACTATTTAAACTTTTACTTGAAGTGATGAAGTATCTTGTTGCCATTGTTGTAAGTTCGAAAGATTGGACATCAACATTCGATTTTGACGTCGAAACGGTCGCTGGTGAGAAAAATCACGAGGGCTACTTGAGAGAAGTGGGTCTTCAGAATTCAGCATAATTCGTCTTGGTGTTGGAGATGGCTCTAATGCATAGGCATCCAGTGATCTACATTCTTCCGGCAAAACTTCTTCTAAAGCTTCTTCCACCTAAACAAAAATAAAGGATATCATTGTGAATTAATTTGCATTATAGTTGAAACAGCAGTGAAAAAAATTATTACCTCTTCTTGACTAGACATTGTTGCCGTGAAAAACGCAGCTGAAAGTGGTGATGATGCACGGGGTGCTGTATGAGCTGGTGAGTGAGCATCATGTGAAGCTGGAGGTGTTGGGTATGCAAGTCCAGGGGACGGTTCAGGTTGATTTGAATAACTTCCACCTGGTGAAGCAGCTGCATAAGCTAAACCTGGTGAGTCTCCCGTAGAATAGGATAGTCCTGGGGAATTTTCTGAATAGCCAATACCAGGTGATGGGACTGGTGATCCTCCATGGCAAGCTCCGAAGTCTGCTAATGATTCTGGCAGTGGCGAGTTAAGGACAGCAGCTAGTCGCCTATTTGAAGGAAAAGTAACGGGCGATCGTTCTCTTATAGATGCTGCTACTGTTGCATAGTCTTCCAAGGAGGCTAATTCTTCTAGCTGTTCAGGGGTTGTTGTAAATTGAAAAGTGTCCTCATTCAACGCCGGTGAAAAGTAGCCGTCATCCGAATTAAAAGATACTCCAAATAGCTCCGGTCGGAAAGTGAAATCTGGTTGGTGTGGTGAATTACCTGGGTCCGATGCAGACCGTTTTACAACCTACAATGAAAAAATCTATTAGCTTGAAATCAGTAGCAATAAAATCTTGTAAATTTCAGATCCTATGATAATAATTAACACTCATACCTTAGTGTTGCCTTTTCTTAATAGTTCTATAAGTGTAGAGTCTCTTTGCGATGCACAGATATTTGTAGAATGGTTTGTGGCGACCGTGACGACAGGTGGAGCTCGTGGGGAAATAAACTGCGTCGAACTAGCAGCGGGGGAGGCTGGTGATATTACTGAACTACGTATAGTAGACAGCGGTGGTGGCGCCGGGGCTACAAAGCCTGTACGTGGTGGTACTGTGTCTGTACTGGTGGCTTTAACAAAGTAATATCATTGTGATTTAAAGGTATGGCAAAACTAAATTAAAAAAAATCTGATAAAGATTCTTTGTTGCATATAAACAGTTTTGCACAAAATTGTAGGCAAAAAACTAGATTGAATAAAACGGTTACTCTTATAGAATTACCCTTGAACGATGTAACTGTACATAGAAATTGAAGTTCTCCGTTCATCGGTATAAAGAAAATAAAATTTGATGCTACAATTTTCTACAGACAGCTCGGTTTGCGAAGAAAATATTAAAAATAATAAATGTTTTATCGATAATACGATTTGCAGATAAGCGACGGGCAGCTTTACTGAGCGAATTAGAATTTTATCAAAATTTTGGACTTTGAAAAACAAAAATTTCTAAATATTTACTAAAAATTAATTTAAAATAATATTTCATCGCGATCATCGCGAGACTTAATACTAGTGTTATTATTTTTATCACTTTTTGGCGGTCCGACCTGTCTAGAAAAAGATAGGGGCTGAAAATTTTTCTTTGTACGATGTACAATTATATCGTTCAAGCTTAATTCTATGTACTTATAGTTCAGAGGTCTTATTATACATAGTCAATTCTCATTATCATCAGCCTTTAATAGTCCACTGCTGGATATAGGCCTATCCTTAGAAAAGAAAGAGGTTTAGAAAAGAGTAGAAACGAGGTTTTGGCCTACTATACCCCACTGGCCAGACGGGTTGGGTATAGGGTTTATCTCAAGTTTTCTTTCTCATTGAAGTGCTGTTGTCCTGCGTAACTTGTTTCCTTAGTCGGCTCTTACAACACCCACGACATGAGTAGGGGTGGTGACATTTCGTTTTCTTAATCCGTCACCACACAGGGACTAACCAATTCAGTTAAGAACAAATAGTAAAGATGTCAGTCAAGAAAATATGAATATCCAGCCTAGCTAAACAAGTGTACCTAAGCAAAAACGTTTTCAAAATATTTTTTCATACATCCTTTACTAGGCCGAGAGACGGATAGAGATATCATTGTATGAGTGGTAAGGTAAGGTTTGAATATGATTTAAAAAAGTAAAAAAATGTAATCAGTTTTAAAATTTAAATACCTGTCGATGGCGTGGCGGCAACAGTTGCACTTCGGCGGCTGATAATCTTTTCTTCTATGAGTGCTCGAACAGAGACTGAAGCAGTTTGTAAGGGTGGCCCCGTAGTTTCTTTCTTATCTAGTTTTTTGCTGTCTGAATCCTAAAGTTAAATAAAAGAATAAAATTTAGTGGATACAACATATTTTTATATTTTCTGTTTTGATATTTTCTGTTTACTAATGTTTTAATAATATTTTTTTTTTGACCACACTGATCGCTCGATGATAAAAAATTAAAGGCACCAGACAACATTTGTACCCTTTAAGCTCCGATTTACTCATAAAAACTTATCGAGAGCAGAATGAGCGCTGTCCACATTATGAGTCCTAAATAAAAATTATCATATGCAATTATGGGTTATAACTAACCTTTTTAAAATATCCACCATGAAGTCTCATATGCCCATTGAGAGCTGGTATATTTTTGAACTTGCGGTGGCAAAGGTTGCACTCAACTGGTTTGATGTCACTTGAACGAGGGCCGGTCACTCCGCTTGTCGCTCCGTTTGACACCCCGCTTCCACTCGCACTGGGCCCATTTTTCTGACTGCTCGATTGTGTCTGTAAAATTCAGGATGACTTTTCAAAAGTTCTGAAAATTTTCGAACCTATTACGGACTTCGTAATTTCAAGGTATAAACTTTCGATCTTCAGTGGCTCGTTAATATTTCAAGTTAATCAATGAACTTCGATAGACTCTGGGTAATCCTCATTAGAGAACATTGGTAAAACAGGTCAATCTAAAACCGGAAAGTGCTCGCAGGAACTGTGTTGTTAACTCCATTGAGATACATTTATTTTAGTTTTTTTTCAATGCGGAACGAGCGCGTAGTGCAGTTATTCATTCACGTAACACTTTAATTAGTTGCGGATTTCCGTCGCACCGCGATGGTGTCCAACGCGTCGCATGGTAACTCGTAAATTATATCTGATAAAATGTTTTACAGTAGAAATTATTCTACTCGGATTTAGGCCACACGCTGGGCAGACTACAATTATGACGATATTTTCATGAAAACAAAGGTGTACTCCGTTTTAATTGAAACGGAAGAACGAGTTCATGATGTAGTTAATTATAGACAGCTGACATATTAAAAGCGCTAGAAAGACCAGAAATGCTCGAAGCAGTATAACACACTCAAACCAATAATAATGATACACATTTAAACAACACCCACTTAAGATGAGCTCGAGGTGAATAAGCTTAATGTCATTACCGAAGGATCAGGGTTGGTACAGTTGGCATCCCAAACTTTTCGGCTTTATTGTCGTCTTGCAAGCTATAATACTCGAACGATACCCTCGGCGCACTTTGAGCTTCATGACTGTTAAACGACTTATTCCCTTAAAAGTCGTAGCTGCTGATTGCTTATACTATATTGTAAAGATACAGCCGTCACAAAACACCATTTAATTTATATGGCCTGTTTAACTTAAAACGCCATTGTTGTGTAACAGACGCATAGAGTATATTGCCGGATTTCTGAATAGTTTATTATCCCTGACTCTATTAAAATATTAAATTAAAATCAACAATATAAATATAATGTTTATTAAATAGAAACTGTGATTTGACTTGATTTTCTTAACTTGATTGTGATGTAAAGTAGTGTTGTACTAGTAGCTAGATTACTGAGCCATACTAAGATCGAGTGTTTAAGATAAGTTGTATAGATTAATTTGACGGATAAAAGTGCAGAGCAAACACTCAACCGATGTATCATAATTATGTACGTGGGAGAGCCCTACCTCAGCACAAATGGGTCTCAAAGTGCGTCAACGCAGTTGTGATTTTTGTTGCAGTTGCAGAATACAGTTTTCAGTCGGTTATATATTACACTTACTAATAATTGTAAGTTCAGTCATCATCATCAACAGCCTTTAATAGTCCACTGCTCGACATAGGCTAAGAAAACAGGTTTTGGCCTACTATACCACGCAGGCCAGATGGGTTGATATAGAGTTTATGTCAAGTTTTCCTTCTCTTTGTAGTGCTGTTGTACTGGGTAGTTTGCTCCCTTAGTCAGCTGTTACGACAACCATGGGATGAATAGGGGTGGTGGCACTCCGTATTCTTAATCCGTCACCATTAGGCATTCAAACTAATTACGAATAAATAGAAGTGATCTGTGGGTTAATAATTCGATAACTATTTTTTATTAAAAAATTCGCTTTTTCTATATATAAACCATATGCATTCCAAATTTCATATTTCTCTGTATACGAGTTTGGTAATAAATTTGTACGAAGAGTTCTCCCCGCGTATTACTACAGAAATATAGAAATATAAGTAAAACGAAAAAATAAACAGCGTGGTTGTTTTATTGATATTTCAGATAAGTTTATAATATTAAACTGGGTTCAGTGATAAACTAAATATGCAACAAAATATTAGCCTTTATTTGGTTTATGAAAACGTTTAGACCCTTGTCTATTGAATTCAGTCGGTAGCGGTAGCGAAATTCGCTTTTTTTTTGTTTCTGTATTCAGAAACAAAAAAAAAGCGCAAAAAAAAACTATAGTGTTTCCTTGCATAATCCTATCCATTAAATAACCCTATCACAAGTCTTACGTAGTAGTAGTATAAAACGTTTACAAAATAAATTTTGTCTTTATAGTTTAATGAATGAAGACAAAATTTAATTTTAAACTGGTCACACATATTCCAAAAACTAAAACGCCCTAGATTAAGCACAATCTGCACTAATGACGTCACAAGCCAGGGGTGCCAAAATATATGCTGCATTATGTCTTCATTTGTACAGATAAACGTTTTTGTCACGTGACTAATAACGGTACAGAGGACACATGTTAAAAGTTGGTCGTGGGCGTAATTTATTTGATTTGAAGTTTTTTTTTGCGGGGCAGCCCTAACGCGCCATTAGGGCAAGCTCGTTAGGTTAATGTGGAGGTGAGACCAGATGTTCGGTGGAGTTGGTGTAGCGTTTTTGCTATATATCATCCGTACTGCAGTTGGCTCTAGTATTGTGCTTTTTTGGTTGAATCGTTTTCTTGTAGTCGGAGCAAATGGCGATTCGGGTTTTATGGACGAAAGTTTGGTACGTAGTTTATGTTGTTTATGTAGATTACTGCTGTTGTGTTCTGAGTTAAGATTATATATTGCTAAGTAGTATGAGCCATTGTTATTCAGGTTATAGTTTTTGAGGTATAATAGCAAATAGCACTTTGAAATGCTTAAGGTTCGCTTAGGGCCAAGTTTTAAAGTGCAATTTAATTTTAAGATTAAATTAGATATGAAAACATGCTGATACATTTGTTAAGCGTTACACGGGTCTCTGCCATTCTAGAGTTGGTCAAGGATTAACGCAGTTTATTTTTGTTATATGTATTTATGTTAATAGAATCTACCTTGTACGTATCTATCATCAGTAAATATGGCCGACACGTTTAGTAACATTCATTCATTCATTGCAGATAATGGAATAAAAACGATTTAATTGTGTTGTGTTCATATTGACTACGGCGAGCATAGATAAAGATATGGTCACATTATAAAGTCGTGTAATAATAATTTTAAATTTTTTTAAAAAATCTGTAGACGTCGTTAAAGAAAATTCGTGACATTGGAGACATTTAATACCTGTTAAACTGGAAAATTTACCGATAAAGCTCATATTTCTATTGAAAGAGGGATTTAACGAAAATAATTGTTTAATACCTAGCATATTGATCAAATGCCTCAATATTTTTGTGTAATTAATTGCATAAAGTATGAAATAAACATAAAAAATCGTAATATGTAGCTTAGAAATTATGTGCGCCAACACTAGGCAAAGCGCATCCAACGAAAAAGCTCACTCTTATTAATTACTAGCTGAGACCCGCGGTGTTACCCGCGTTTGTTGTTATAACCGCGGGCAACGCCGCGGGGCGAAGCTAGTCTAAAAAAAGTAGCCTAAGTTACTCCTTATGTCATCAGCTATCTGCCAGTGAAAGTCCCGTCGAAATCGCTCCAGCCGTTCCAGAGATTACCCGGAACAAACAGACAGACAGACAGACAGACAGACGAAAATTGTAAAAAATGTTATTTTGGCATATGTACCGTGTAAACATACATATGCATTTAGTACAAAGGGGTTATTTTAATATTACAAACAGACACTCCAATTTTATTTATTTGTATAGATTATCTTACGAGTTATTAAAAGCAGGTATGTACCTATTTTTCATGTAAAAATGATTTGTGAATAACTAAAGTAAATTCAATGCATTCAATTAAAAATTATTTGATTTAACTAATTAAAAAAAAAAATACTCTACTGACTTAATTGTGGCAACTTACAACAACATTTTAAACAACTTAAAATTAAAAAAAAATGTGAAGACATACCTTAGGTTTAGTAAATACAGTTGTTTGAAAAAGCTCCGATATCCAATTGTCCATTTCTATACACCACACAGAATACTACTATTTTCTATTTTCACAAAGATTACTAAATAAAAAAAGGATTAATTTTACTTCAGTTCGTTAAAAAATGCAAAGTATAAACTACTTCGCGAATGGTATGATGTTAATCTCACGGTCTTCGAACGTATAATGACGATACAATGGATGGGAAAGATATCGAAATGATGACCCCCCGATAAGTTTGGACCTCGCGAATCGCGAGATAACTGGCTAATGAACAACAAAAGAAATGCAGCTTGTGTGAACGCTAATTTGCATATAGTTAAAACAAATTTCATAAAACATACGTGTAAATATAAAGAATAGTAGAATTTTATAACAAATTGGTAATAAATTTAAACTGTCGACCGAGAGTACAGAACTCGGTGTAATAATATGTAATTGCACCGACCATCGTATTTTTCATCCATGTTTATTTTTATGCTAAGACACGTGAAGTGTATATATGGGTTCGAACCTATTGGCATTGTACGGTGTGCTACCATTTCTTCAAATCACTTGAGTCTTAAGGTCACAGGTTAAGGTGTAACCTAAAAAGGACAGTATTTAATCCGCGACATATCAAGAAAGAGCAGCGGGTGTAGTCGTAGGTAAGATAAGATAAAGTTTATTTTCTCTTCCACAAAGGTTACTTAATACTAGATTAACAATAAATAAAAGAATCCTGAGTCTATGATTGTATGTCTACGATTCCCAAAAACTCGTATACAAGTGATTAAAACGTCTTGTTAATAATATTTAATCTAGATCCGCAGCTCATTTATAAAATAATCAAAAGTTTCGAATGTTTAAAAAATTAAAGCAATTAAATTAATATTTAAAAGCTGAACTGAAGTCGAAAGTAAAATATATCTTGACTGACTTTGCGATCAAATTTATGACAAGTGTCTCCTGTACCTGTTTAAAGATTAATCAGTCGCTTTTAAGTTCGCGCTCCTAAAAATATTATTATCTTAAAAATATGACGTTTAAGAGTAGGTATTATAGTCTTAAATTTATAAATATATATTAAATTACTGGTAAAAAATTAAATTTAAATAGATGTAATAATAATTAAAACGCTACATAAACGTGGAGTGTGCCAGAATATATTACGTAAATTGTAAAGAACCGTGTGAAAAATTATAAATGC